CGCAAGGTACGAATCCATAAGCAGCTACCTAAACAGACTGCTTCATTACCCCAACGTGGTATCTGCCCTTGCTTGTTGTGTCAAAATCGGTATTAGCTAGCCAGGGGTCGAATTTAACCGGCCTTGCGCCAATACGGCTGGTTTATAGAAGCAAAGTCTTGATATCTACCTATCCAATGCAATGTCATTGAGGGTTATAAACAAGTTTGAACTTCATGCTACGAGTTTCTTAGTGAATCAAATCTCTCGCCCTAGTTAGTATAAACGTTAGAATCGTTAAGGGGGGCGATCGTGAGGACCGGTATCGAAGACGCGACTACAAACGTACCCACATGCGGGCTATCGACTACCTGGAGGCTGGAGATGATCTACATATTTAACCTTATGTCTGCTGAGACGATCTCCATGAGTCTAATGCGGATCGTAGAATACGACGTAGCATATAAAAGTGGTATAATAAGTCTAGGTATTAGAGGGAGGCTAAGTACCGAAGGTGACAATTCGCACATGTCTACCTACCTACCTAGGACCTAGGTAGTAGGCATGCTTGCCTGCTAGGAAACAAGCATCCGATAGGCCCATATAAACTAGAAAGAAGAATTCTCCGGGTTCCCCGGGTTAGTTAAAGGGGCGAGCTAACAATGGACCAAGAAGGCATAGAAGAGAGAAAATGGAAAGCAACATGGTGCGCATTCAGGTGCGCTGACATCCAACTTATGATAGCTTGCTTGCATAAATTCTGGGTACGCTAAGAGGCTTCAAAGTGTTTAAAAGACTTTAAAGCAGTCGTAGACCCAACTGAAGTTGACGGACCATTGTGCTAAGGGTGCACTAGGGGGGGATATATCCCTGTTACGCACGTAATGTAACTCGTAGAGTGCCCAATACACTATGCGCCTACCTGGTAGGGAAATACAAATTTTGTACGGAAAACATCCGAGCGAAGACAAGAATCACTTAGGAACATGAGACGATGAGGCTTCGCTCATGATGATTATCTGGTGCTGGCAAATCCAGTTGAGAGGCGAAGGTGAAGTCGTGGGTTGTACGTGCCCCGGATACTATGATATAAATTTTCTAGTCTACGAGAGTTTCGGCTGGCGGCGTATGGCCCGCCAAGTCTGGAAGAATCCTGAAGGGTCTAGATTAGGATTGGGACTGGGGAATCCATGTACGTAATGGCAAGTTTCTATGGTATAAAGTAGTAGTCAGGTAGTTTAGGTACCTAGTTAGGGCATAAAAGGATTTGTGGGTTGGCTTCCTTGCCGTTGATCATGGTATGCAGCTAGGTCGTTCGAGAATGTAGCATATTGTGTCGACGGTTCATCAGTTACTAGTTGGAGAAGTTGTCAAGACTTCATCGATCCTGGGTAATATTGCAACGTCGACCGGTTACTTATACACCAATACCTACTCATCTAGATCTGTGAACCGCTTTTAGTCTAGGTACTGTCGGAACATATATGAATGGAACTACCTACCCATCGCAGTTTTGACGACGATCTTCGCTACTCGAGTCGACTTATTCCCGTTGCGATCTTGAGCTTATCTGTGTAGTTGCTGCATAGATGCTCTAACGATCAGTCACCATGTCGGGCACCACCACAGCGACGAATGCTAACCCGACAAGCTGGCTTCAGAATTTGGGTATCGCCATAGAGGTCGTATGTCCGGCGCTTGCACTTATAGTCGTCGTCTTGAGAACGTATATCAGGCTCGACACAAAGAGTTTCGGTTGGGGTAGGTACCTAAACAACTCATGAACTTCATTTTCGAGGTGGGAATCTAACGAAAACTGTATAAAGACGATGGCTTGATCATTTCTGCAATGGCACTGAGCATTGCTCTGGCAGTAGGCTCAATCAAAGGTATTCTAAATTTATTGTTCAACAATACTGTATCTCATCTAACAAAACATAGTTATGAAAACACTCTTCATAGGGATTCACTATTACGATGTCCCTACCCCTTTTGATCCCACAGAGGGGTTGATTTGGATTTATGTGGTTGGGGCCGTGTACCAGCCAATTTTGACACTCGTAAAGCAGTCTGTCCTCGTCTTCCTTCTCCGTTTCTCGGGTGTCAAGTCCGGGGTTCGGTATGTTGTTTGGGGCACAATCGTGTTCAATACCCTCCTCATGGTTGCTGTTTTCGTCGCCGTTATTTTCCAATGCACCCCCATCGAGATGAATTGGCACCCATTAGTTCAGGGTCATTGTATCGAGCAGTTCAAGTTTGGGGTGGCGGCAGCTTCCCTAACGATTATGACCGACGTTGTCGCCGTAACGCTGCCATTCTACATTTTCCTCAGTTTGAAAATAAATAGGAATAGGAAGATTGCCTTGATCGGTGTCTTTATGCTGGGTGTACTGTAAGGAACCCCTATTATCTATTTTATCAACGGATGAGACACTAACAGAAGTTTCCTCAAAGCGTTACGGTGGTCAGCATTGTGCGCCTTTATTTTCTTGCCCAAAACTTCAACGACACCAGCCTTGACAAGAATTTCTCTGTCGGCTTTTGTGTATCATCTATTGAGTGCAACCTGGCTATCCTGACCGCATCAGCCCCCGCTTTATGGCCTCTCGTCCGTCGCTGGGTCCCGGGCCTCAAGTCGACTAATAATCAATCTTATTACGGGAAAAACAAATATGGCGTTTCGTCACACGGAGGACAGGGTTATATCAGGACTACGGATGGACCGGAGAGCGGGATAGGATTGAAGGACATGGACGGTAGACGAGTACATACCGAAATTCGATCATCACGAGACTCCGACGAGGAAATTCTGACTGGCACGGGCATCATGCGTACGACGCAGTTCACTGTCTCAACCACGGATAGCCGTTCAGTCGCGACGTCAAGTCGCACCTTTGACGATCGTATGACACACTCCAAAATATCTAGCAACGGCTCGTTATGAGTTATGAGTTATCTACCTAGCCACTAGGTACGATATATACATATAATGGTGGATGGCGTTAAGGGGATAATTACTTGGATAAAAAAAAGGAATATCGGCTGACCCCCTTTCCCTTATTGGTTATGAAACCAGTATTAAGGTGATGAATATTCATTGGGGTGAATATAGAATTACAGGAAATATTAGTTCATGATCTAGTTTACAGCAGTCGCGAAGAGGCACGACCTCCTACAGCTGGCTAAGTTAGCTATTTCGTGAGAAATGCATAGATACGCTTTCTATCACGGCTACCTATCTTGGCTTCTGGTGTACTACGGGGACCTAGATTTGAGGAGAAGAGGTAGCGCTATGAAAATAGTGGAAAATGCCTGTTCTCAGCTGAGTGACGACCTAGTTCAGCTGCGTCAATAGTTCGAAACGAAGTCATCTTGGCCGCACGATCCGCCTCAAAGATCCTCTATCCAAGACGTCGGGTCCTATGCCGAAGAACACTAGCAGGTATACCTAGCGATGTGCGCCTACCCTACTTAAGTTAAGTCTAGAGAGGATATGGTGGAAGGATTTCAACTTGCTCATCAATAACCTAGAACCTAGGCAGTATAGCTGAAGGGTATACTGCAGTTTTGTCGTCGCCCAGGTAGGTATGTTTTGAATTGCGTTTCATTTCTTCCTTCAATTTTTCCGACCGATATTCGTCTTTGGAAACTGAAATGTTCATATGAGATGGGAGAGAAACTCTTGGATAAGATTCTAGAAGGTCGGGAGTATCCGCATATAGTCTCGCCCTAAGTAATAAAGATGACACAGAAATCAGACAATGGTGTGCAGTCAGGACCGGCTACCTCAAACCTTGAAACGGATTCTCATGAGAAACCTTCATAGTTCCGACCATCTACACTAATAACACTCACATTTTACCTATACCCCTAGAGAGGTGTCGTGCTCGCGTGGATGTCGAATGATATGTTAGAATAGCCATCGGGATTGAACCACCTAACGTATTAAGAATGGCGATGGAACTATTTCTCTTGATCCTGGTGTAGATCAACAAGTGCACGGTCGACGCGCTAGCACTGTTTTTAGATGTTCCTTATATGCCACCGATGCTAAAACCACGATACTACCTCGCAATGCATGAGGCCGCTTGTCCGGGAACTTCACCCGCGTACACTACTACATAGTATATCCCTAGTGTAGACTGTAGTACATAGTACATAGCACGTCTTCGAAACTCTACAGTAGATCTTTTAGTCTCAAAGACCGTCGGAGTTGAAGACGATCGGAAGAGCCCGAGATAGATATTAGGACCGAGTGCGATATCATTTAGGAAGCTATTCAATTTTAGGGCGGATAGGGTTTTTCCCCCGGTGAGAATCGAGTCAAGCTTTCCATGAATATCACGTAACCTACCTAACTCATCGCGCGTGTTCGTGGAGGTGGTCTGGTCGAATGACTCGACTTCGTTAGAAAATATGGTACTAATCTTCCAAAGTAGCAATTGCCTGAATCATGAGCTAAGAGCTATGGATCATTTCGTGGTCTCGCTGTTTCGTTTAGAGCAGGCGCTACTTCATATGTACAGTAGATCAGTATCCCCAAGTCGCCTCAATTGACAGCACCAGTACCCTACCTGTCAATACTGACAGGTTCCGGCATATCGAGACGAATATGTTAGATGTGGGATGTAAGATATGAGATGTAGGATATGGGATGTAGGATATGGGATGTAGGATATGGGATGTAGGATGTGGTGGCGTAGGAATCATCGGTACTCATTTCCTGACGATGGGTTTGTTGAGAAGATGTTTGTCTATCGCAAGTCTCTGGCGAGCGATAAAAAGTTTGTTTGGACCTAGAATACTGAGATCCTAGGTCCTAGGTATTGGGGAAACGCGATACAAAAATATTGGTGAATATTAATTAGTGTGACACAATTACTCTGTAGATATGCTCATCAAAAAGACAATTGGAAAACCACCAAAGTCACAAGTGAGAAAGGTTCAATCAAGCTTGTTCATTACATGCGAAATGGCGACGGAATGAACAATTGAAAAGAAAGATATGAATACAAAAAAATCGACACAGGCCCGATTCGAACGGGCGCCTCCGAAGAGATGTGATCACTTTTAGGGTATTTCCTTCACTCGACTTAAGATGTTCGAATTTAATGATTGGAAATTGCACCATTCGAGTCACACGCGTTAGACCACTCCGCCACTGTGCCTTGAGAGGATTGAAGCCACTGTTCTCGGCTCGACCGATGGTGGATTGACCTGGAAATTAAATTAATATAGTCTTACCGAGGATTTTCTAAGCTTTTGACCAATGAAATAATGGTTTGGTCGTGACTCGTGAGAGTTGGGGGCTGCGGGGGCATTAGCGTTGCGCGGTCTAGCGGTCCAAGCACCCAAGACCCAAGCTTTGTGGATTCTCAACTCGAGGCGAGATGCATAACATTTAGCAACTTGGAAATTCATTTCTGCTTAGTTTTAATGGCATATTCGTACAAAGAGCATTAATTTTAGTGTTAATGATTTATTGAAGCAAATGCTATGAAATTGAAGTTTTAAGACTCTTAATGTTTTTAATATTGATAGATCTATCAACAACATGAATTACTAGGTACTAAATTACTAAATTACTAGGTACCTAAACCTAAGCATTTAAGGAAAAAACCTTTACGATGGCGGTCGTGAACAGCAGTCGGACATCGGTTAGAGCCCAAGAAAGTTGCTGATACGGGATACGGAACACAGTTTGGACAAAATACTGAGGTAACCCTGGAAGCATTTCCTTGACTTCATGTTAGCGATGTCAACAAGCTAGTCAATAGTTCAGGTAGATGTAGATAGGAAGAATAGATGTACATAACCAGTCAGGCTGTGAAATTTAATGTTTGGGTTTCATCGTTACAGATCAGCCAAAGCAGGCCAAACAGCGTTCATCATGCTGGTGAGTCGGGAGTGCAAAATTTGAAGTGCAGAGAATTTTCTTACCATCAATGTAACGTGGAATATACGATTGATCGTTACCGTTACCGTTATCGTTACCGCTGCTCGACGCTCATGCGGTCGGCAATGAATCCATGGTCGGAAAGGCGACTGTCGTGGTCGTAGGCGAGCAGCAAACCTTTATTTTGAACACGGAAGAATTAGAAGGAGAGGAGCGACGCTACAGACGCTACAGGTGAAAACTTGTAAGCGCTTCTGAAAAAGTAAGCTTACCTGGCTTACCTAAGTCATGGTGTAACCAAAGATGGCGGGGTTCTATGCTGTACAGTCTTATTCGATAACAATCGAAGCAGCCCTGGAGCTATTATCCCTCTTCCGCACTTTTAGCATTTACATAGGTACCTACTCTACTAGACTACTAGTACCTAGCACTTCCAAGTTTCTAATCGGATTTCAACAAGAACATCAACTTCTAATCCTTCCAATAAAAAATGACAGGTCGTAATTCTTACCTAGAAGACCTGGCCCGTCCGAAAGATCTCACCAAATAAAGCGGAAAACATGAAAGGATCCTAGAACGTTGCGGAAAGTTGTGACGCTTCTGCTAGGAACCTCGGTGAGACAACACATAAACACCCTCAGGCACCGGCCTTCATCGATTTCATCGTCGTAAAAAGAAGCCCACTCATCAACCCTCTAAACGCTAAGGGAACATTGGTTATGTGGCTATGTGGCTATGTGGGCTATGTCGTCGTATCGTCAACGTTGAACTGACGTGAATTACGCAGTAAGGGCGCCTTTCGCAGATATCCCTAGGCAGCACCTTCATTCGATATCTGGTAATTTTTAGTCGGATATGGATTTTTCGCATACTTTTCCCTTTGCGCAACCGAGTGGTGACGCGGGTCGGTTTCTTGGCCCACCATGTCATGTACGACATATCGACATCCAAGGACCAAGGGTGAAGCTGCCGCAATCGTATATAATAAGGCGCATATGGCGCATATGGCGGGGTATACCATCGTTTGCTGGACGAATTAAGCGATTGCTAGTCCTCCAATACTTTCCAACATTGCCGTATTGAAGTCATCCTAATCACCACAACCTGGCGGCAACATCTCATATCATCCATGCACTGCTAGGTACTCATGACTGTTGAAACCCTACCGACGTGCCTCGCCGGGGTTCTTTGTCGGATGCTGACACGGCACGCATGGAGACCTCTCGCTGCATACGGATGCTGAGGTGATCACCTCTGGGCACCAGGAAAACATTCGGGGCCAATAGGTATTTCAATAATCGAAGGAGAAATGTATCCACGAATGATTACCTACTATTGACAATGCGATCGATAAGCGTTGGATCTGACCCGATCCATTCCTTGTTCTTACTTGGGTCGAAATGATCTGCTTTAACTCATCTGTAGTGAGCCTCATTTTGCGGCGCCGAATCGCGTTTTGGCAAATGGCAAATAGTCCTTGACGCCGACCGGGTTCCAATGTAGGAGCCTAGACTATACCCCAATATGATTCCGGTAAAGACGAACAGGCTGCACTAGCCCGGATTTCGCCCCTAATAAGACGCGTATCATCTAATGTCGGTTTGAAACATCGGTCTGCTTTTAAAGGGTCCAATTATCAGAATCTTTCCAATTCCCTACCTAGCACACATCGCAACACACCTCGACGATGTTGCTCGATCTTCCCCAAGAGCTGCGGGACCAAATTTTCTCTCTGGTCTGTCTGAATACGCGCTCGCCGACAGGACTGTCGACATACAGCCGAGAACATCGCAGAACATGCGAGCGACAGAGCTATTCCTTGTCTCCTTTGGCGGGGGATCGCGTCTGGTTTGAGCGGCCGTCGTTCCAAAACCCAATGCTTTCATTACTGCTGATCAACCATCAAGTCAATCGCGAGGCGCAAGAAGTGCTACGGCGGATGGGCGAACCACCAAACTACGCCATCGACGTTGTTTTCCTGAAAGACGGAACGCTATGGCCGACTTGGTTATCAATACCGAAGCTTCAGCGGTCACTAGGGAACGTATATGCACAATTTCGGATCTTTGACGTCCCCGAGCACTTGCGATCGCATATCGCAGGCGACCCATATCGCTCGGATCGGCCAGGACCACCACCAGTCGTCTGGTCATTTTATCATCTTCTGGCGGGGTTCCTCCGAAATGGCCCAATCGTTTCGGATAGGGACAACGATGGTGGCTGTTTCACGATTCGAAATCTCATATTAGATTTCCTGCCGGCTAGTGAAAAGAACATCTTACCACTTGCGTCCTTCATCCAATACTTTAAGGAAGTTGGGGATATGGCCTCATCTGCGAATGTCGAGGGCGATCGGATACCCTTTCAGGATGAGGGTCTTGTTGCTGCGGAATATCTAGCCCATTTTGTTAGAGCACTCCTTCTCCGAGTGCTCAAACTTGGTGTATCGACGATCAAATTTGGGAAGATACTATATGAGAATATCGGCGACATAGAGGTCAGGGTCGACGGCCAATTAAGATGGCATTTGGACATTCCTAAGATGTTCTCAAGCCTTTCGTTTGACCACGAGGTTAATGTCTCAAATAGGTTGAAACGTGAACAAATGTTTGCGCACTGGAAGGCCTTGACTTTGGCGAAACGACTGAAAGCTGGCTTGCCTACTTAGGTCCTAGGTTTCTAAATTTTGGACATACTACTAGATTTAGCCAATGTGGCAATGAAATTCTTGGCCGAAGCCTCCAAATGAGCGCAACTCCAAACCCATCCTTTCAAAGGCCGTGGGGCCAGAACCAGGAATCACTGCGTGGAAAGAAAACCGGGATAGCGGGTTCACTCGGCCCCTGTCCAATAGATGATCCAGGATACACCCACGATACACAAGGCGCACAGCAAACCAGCAATATGACGGCTTCGTCCAGGAATACATGGGTTATCGGTCAGCTCGAAGTGATTTGGATTTTCGGATAATGAATATAGATGAGAACTTCTCCGCAAGATTAACACGGACTCAAGCGCTGAGGCGTTTGCGGCAATCCAATCAACGCGATGAACTCTGCGGGCCACCTGCAGAGCGCCGGAGTGGGCAAGCTGACATTAGATGAAATCACCCACCTAAGACCATCGAGGAAGTCCGTCGAAGCAACTACGAATTCGACCCCTTCGTTGAGAGATAACTCCCGATCTCCTATCATGTACGTCGTCAAGAAGTAATGTAGACTATTCGTGATATCAAGAGTCTCTAAATATGATGGTTCTTCCGTCAAAATTAGCCGACGATCATTATCTTAATATCAGTCAATTCGGAGTAAACGCCACAACACAAGCCGCTATCGTCATTGTCCTGTGAGGCGTCGTTGCGGTTTAAATTACTGAGAATAAGCAAATACCCTCCACCTTTTTGACTCGTACTCTTCCGGTCATAATTCTTTTCAGCGTTCAAATGACCTGTAGCTCTTCTTTTCGGATACATATTATCCTAGCTCGGCCGCCGGAATGTTGCAATATTCAGCAATGCCGCTCCATTGCTATTCCTCTGTTTTGGCACTCACATCTAATAAAGTTCCAAGTTACCTTTCACCAACAAACGATGGACCCTGAGGCCGAAATCATTTTTAGCACATCGCGATTGCGAACTCGGTGGTCACAGCCACTCCATTTCCCAGTAGACCAAAGTATCTCTCAGCGGTAGTGTAAAGATCGGTGTAGCGATCATGCACGTTCTTAATAAAAACTACCCATCGATAGAAGCTCTGAACCGCCACTTGGCGTCCCAATGTGTAGAGTATAGCTCACGATCGAGATGCGGATAGGTAGCACCTAGCCTGCTGGGATCAGACAATCTATTAATGGTGGTGTCACAAACGAACACTGAGAGGTTCGTACGTATCTGAAAAGCCGAGGGGGAGGTTACTTTGACATGCACCCTAAGAATGTCACAGTCACCTAAATGGGTAAGGCAGGGTGCCTATATTATATGCATGTTGGGGGCTGTCAAAGTAGGTAGGCTGGATGGGTATACGACGTCCCCCCATTGGGCCTTCCATGTGCTGACGCGGGCGTTAGACCATTCTTACAGCTCAACTATATCACCAACGCGCCTCTTCCGAGAAGAGGCTGCGCCATGGGAGTAGGTGTGGTGTGTGGGATACAAATTGCACATCTATTTGTGCGACTTTGTATTGAGGGGTAATACTAGAGTAGGAATGAGTCTTCTTCGAGGCTCGTCGTTCTGGACTAGCCTACTGATTACTTATAGCACTTGCTAAACGT